CAGGGCACGCACACACGCAGGGCACGCACACACGCAGGGCACGCACATGAGACGGGGGTAGGGTACAGGGGAGCACAGGCAAAGATAGAAACGTGGAAGGAGTGGGGACATCTTAGTGATATTGCATGCTTACCATATTCAAGGTTCTGGGTTTACTCCCAGGATCAAAAAAGAAATCAGAGAAGAGTACGGGAAGAGCTCAGAAGGTCATTCAGGATGGATAAACATGCCAGCTAATGTTACCCCACAAATATTCCTGTCTAGTTCATAAGTTATAAACATTAACTGACTCATGACAGTCTCTCTAGGCAACAGTTGGGATTTCCAAAGATCTTGCAGAGCGACTTCACTCCATAGTTCATCAGATTGTTGGCGAACAGGTTGAGAAATACCAGGCTACTGTTCCTTTCCAGAGCCTCCGATAGTTGTAGACAGCGGTTCACAATCACGTCACAGTCTTCCAACCTGGAAAGCAACACAGCCCAAGGGAAACAACTCATTTCAGAGAGTTACAACCTCTGTTCACTCAGCTAGAGGGTGGCAGTCTCCCACTTCTGGAGATCTTGACTGAAAATTCAGCTTCCCTACAGAAAACAAAATATTGAATAGCTAAAGCACATAGCCCTGAAAGAATGATAAGCGGGACCGGAGAGAACCATCTTTTCCATCTTCTAGGGCCTTACAAATATGAATGAAAGCAGTTTTAAATCCCCTAAATGGTATTTTTTTCCATCAAGAGGAAAGGAGTTTTCTCCACCTACAACTTAGAAGGCAGAAGGACTGCTGTGTTGGTGTTACTGTACACCGATCTGTGGAGCCAAGGTGAACCACAAATCAGGAGCCAGATCTGTGTCTCCCATGGGTTTTTATTCATGCATCAACCCACATTTTCTAAAGGACCTAATTTTGCTTTACTATTAAACACTTTATTGTAAAAGAACTTGTAAATAAAAAGAAACATCACCAGTGAGGTTAGTCAGAACCAAGGTCCATACACCTCAGTGAACTTGTGACAAAACAGTCACGTCTGGACCTACTAAGTCATGTCACAAAGTTTACCACTTGAAAACTTGCTAGCGAGTTCTCCATCGAGCATCATCGGTAAAAGACATTATCCAAATATCAACAGGAAAGGGATCTTATCAAGTTCTGCTTTTCCAGTGCCTAAGCTTTTGTTTTAGATCTACAGTTAATGCTTTAAGAACAACCAAATAACACTGGAAGTTTTTTGCTATTGATATTTTCTTTTTCGACACAAGAACCAGTGGCATATATCTCACTTGACTCCCAGATAATACAGGTTTAATCCTAAATCTACTTGCCTGATGGTTAAGTTTCTATCTCAACCTGACTCACTCACAACTGTACATAACCCATGTTCAAGAATTGTCCATCAACTTCCAAGATGTAGTATATGAAGTGAATTTCATATTTTAAAACCTGGCTAAGATTTTCAAAAACTCCCCAGTAGTCACAAAATTCACCTTCCTATTTAAAAAGAAGGTCTTACTCCAAGCTTTGCCACTTCTCCAGTTCCTGAATTATAAGTCTTATTTGTGAGAAAGCAACTTACCTTGGCCCTTTGTGCATTAAAGTTTAGTCTTGACTCAGATTGTTCAGAGATTATAAAAACATTTAAGATGAATCTATTTTTCTGATTTTATGTGTGTGTGTGTGTGTGTGTGTGTGTGTGTGTGTGTGTAACCGATTTGACTGACTTTCACAAGAAAAATAAGAGTTTTCTTAAGACCTGTCATCCAATGTGCAGACCAGGGCTGATGGCTAAGGCGCTTCTATTTCTAAAGAGCAACTGAAGGCCACCAGTAAGAGGGACAGTACATGACAATGCACACCTTGACGCTTGACAGTTGCTACACTGTTCTTCCTCAGTCTTCTAGGCTTGGTTCTGAGTCACAGTTGAAGATAGTAGCAATTCATTATCAATAATCAAATAGAGCTTTCTCTAACAAACACAGTTTCCTACTACCATTAGTCAAAAACATAATATATCCTAGAACTTAAGAAAAATGTCAAATGTTCATCAGTTCTTGGTCTGTTCCCTCCCTTCATCTGGGAGATAAAGACAGAATTATATGCAATGAAAAGTGTTTCATGGGGAATGAGAGGAGTGAGCAGTCTTGTTGTGAAAAAAAGTGAACTAGAAAAAGTAGGCTTTCATTAATTATACATCTCTATGAACACCAAGCCCAGACTTCACCTTTTGTCTATTGGGCAGACAAAAGTTATACTGAAAGCTCAATTACCTCAGCACCCATAATTTACATTGTTGGCATTTCAAGGCTGTGCATAAGCTCCTTAACCCATTGTCTTCTAAGTCAGTGTGTTTCAGGTCGAGATGTGTCAGGGTATGGCAGGCAGCCAAAAAACTAAAATCCTGACAGCTATTCAGAAAGCAGACCGATCCAAACCTTCAGCAGAAATACATACAAGAGTGGTTATACAGTCAGCTCCATGCAAAGCTTCATCGTCCCCTTCCAATTATTATTCTCATCTTTTATCTGAAGCTGGGTTTCTCATACTGTGGGTAAGGCACCAAAAGAGTTCCAGAGAAGTACTGAGAAACTCAAGGTAAGTTTGGATTTGTAATCTGACTACTGACATTCTCAACTATTTGACATTACAGGAAGTGAAGGTGGCAACACCAGGAAAGGTAAAGAGAAGCCTCTGAACATTTAGGAAGACTACCACAATTATCAGGGTCTCTCCAAATACTTCAATGACAACATGAACTTATAAGGCTTAAATCTTTTCCATAATCAAAAGGGAATGAGCAATTAGGATCAACTATCAGGTGTATATCATTAGCAACATAAACTGTTGCAGACATGCTGTTATGCTGGGCGTCAACGAGTCTAGAGGAAATACAAAGGTCACCTCCCAATTTTTCCTTACTTCCTTCTAACCATATTTGTGTTTGACATACTTGATTCTCCTGCAATGCCCCTTCTGACTCTGAATTCATCTATCCATACTACACCATAACTACTAAGGCCTCTGGAAAGCACATTCCTCCTCAGCTCATTACCCATCATCCTTCCTTCCTCCATTTCTTCTATTCCCAACTAAGCACCCACAAGAAAATACTTTTATCCATTTACAAAGCTAACCATCCTTCTAAGTTACTATGTAAATATAAAATTGGAAGCATTTTTTTCAAAAGAAAGGGACTTACCACTAAGGAGCTTAAGATTGAGAACAGTCACCATTGCATCATCCCTTGGTGGGACTCTTTTGTTTTAATAAAAGTCATTAGCCAAAAGGTAGCATTTGTAATAACAAATATTTGCACTGGTGACATATGGGAAAGACAATGTGAGGGAGATGCTTAGAGATGAGTGAAAAGATCTCATGAACCAGTGGCCTCTTCTCATCTATCTACAGGTTTAAATAATGCTAAAAATTTGAGGTCAGAGCTCCCAACAATGAGATTTTAAGGAGAAATATTTGACAGGACTGGAGGCTTGTCTCCACGATGACATCTATTTGGCAATACTAGGAACAAGGAAGTACTATTTGTTTGGTGTTGTATACATGACTAACCGCAAAATAGACATTATGCACATAACAGGCTCTAAATACAGAGGAATATAAAGACAGTTCCATTCTCCAGGAGAGCCAACAGCAAGAGATGTGCAATCATGCATGCTTTAAATTGAGGTAATCTGGAACCAAATTAAGATTTTATAACTGACCAGAGTAAACATGGGCACAGGTGAGGAGCAGGTGGAATATTCATATATTGTGGGCATAACTGTGTTGCAAAACTGGCATGTTCTTAACATATATCTACGGACTAGCTAACTCACATTTTAACCAAAGATGTAAAAAACTCACATTTAAACAATATTCATAACAGCCTCATTTCCAATAACTAAATATTGAGAAAAAACAACAGGAGTTTTTATTAACAAAGACAATGAGCAAAAAATTGCAATATAGTCACACAATGCAATGACAATGCCTGTCGGCAATGAGAACAAACTAGTCACAAAGATAAAGTTTGATAGCATTCTACTGAAAACAGACACAGACACATCCTATGTTAGTTAAATGGTTTCTGTAAAGAAACACAGCTAGCTAGAGTAGAAGATGGTTGCCTCACACTAGTGACATGGGATGACTGAATAGGAAGGTGTGGATGGAGCATTTTCATCTCAATGCTCTTCTACCTTATTTTGAGTGTTGGCTCTAAAGATGTTTATGATTATCATAAAACTTATTTGTCACATTTAATAAAATTGATCTTATCAAATATAAGCCAGTCAAGGGAAAATTAATATAAAATGAGTCCTGTGTAATATCTTTGTAAGTACTTTTGTGACCTAAATTTAAGGTCTTAGTTCTCTGCTATTCTTCATCCAGAAATTTTCTAATGGAGTCTCAGAACCACATGCCAACAGCTTCTGCAACCATTGCCATCTTCCCCAGAACAAATGAAGTCATGCTCCCATATCTTTAGGCATCTCCATTATTCATGCTCTTAGAATATTTTGCACAATGATTTTATGTACATCCACGTATCATTTAATGAAGGAAGATTTTATATCATTTTGTGGTTTGGACCTTGTGCAAACATGAAAAGCTGTCTTTACACATACTAACATTGGTCTGGGTCACTAGAAAACAGTGTTATGGGACCACTATCATCCTTCATTGACCAAAAAGTCTTTATATGTGTCCTATAACTATTTCTATTTACTACTGATTTTCCCTAACAAGAGTAGAAAGTAGGGCAAAGAAAACCAATGGGAATACTCCATTAAAATTTCCCGTGCCAGGAGACATTGACCCATGCCTTTGATCTCAGCACTCAGAGGAAGACAGCTTTCTGAGTTCAAGGCCAGCCTAGTCTACAGAGCAAGGTCCAGGACTACCAGGGCTACACAGAGGAAACCCTGTCTCAAAACAAAAAAACCACACACACACACAACAATTCCCCATCTAAGACTTACTGTAGTTTTTGCAGTTTGCAATTCGGGTGACTTAATTCTTCATTTATAATTATCATCAATACTTTATCAAGGATGCTTTCATATAGATCCATTTCTCTTAGCGATTCATTTGTATGCAGCACAGAAAACAGATCTTGCCAGTAGTGAGTGATTTGAGCAACATTATCCTTGAGGCTGTGTAATTGGAAAAAGGAAAGATCAGTCACTTTTGCCTTAGGAGTTGCTATTGGATAAGCATATGCGATGAAAGCGCTTTAGGTGCATCTTTGTTATGAATAATCCATCAGGACATCGACTCTTGACTATCCCAGGATTTTATTTACCCAAGCCTCCTTCCCCTAAAATCTCATCCATTTCCTCAACACTCACTCTCTCTCTCTCTCTCTCTCTCTCTCTCTCTCTCTCTCTCTATATATATATATATATATATATATATATATATATAAATATATAACACTACATATTCTACAGATACCTCACTCAGAATAAAGAAGTCTCCTCATCCACACATCTGTGTGTATGTTCTGTTTTTATTTTGTTTGGGGTTTTTTGTTGTTGCTTTACCTTTAATTTTGAAACAGGGCTTCCCTATGTATCCCTGGCTAGTCTCAAACTTGCCACATAGACTCCCCTGACCACAAATAGATCTTCCTCTGTCTCTGGAGTGCTGAGATTAAAGGTGTGATCAGCCACATCCAACCTTATGTGTCTGTTTTCCTCCAGGTGTATGCACTCATGCGGAGGTCAGAGGGCAACTCAGGTGTTGTTTCTCAGGTGGCAAGCTTTGTGTCTCAAGACAAGTTTTCTCAGTGACCTGGAAATTGGCAAATGGAATATGCTGGCTGGCTAGCGAGTTCCAGGGATCTGCTTGACTCTGCCTCCTCCAGCGCTGTGATCACACATGCATGTCCATTCTGTAAAAGTTCTTTTTTAAAAAAAAAGTCTGGGTTTAGCTATTGAAATGAATTAATGCTGAACTATCTACCCATCCCTTTGTATTGAAATAAAGTTGAAATGAACGAGGCTGGAATGTCACCTTCATGGTATTATCTGGCAAGCTTTAAGATGGTGAGATTTTAGTTCCACCTTTGGTGAAGGAGAATGTAACAAATAATGCTGCAGCGTGTCAGACTATGACTTGAGCTTCTAATTTACAAACATCATAAATGATGAGCCATACTGAGGAAAAGGAACAAAATGTTTTCTCTTAGCAGAGGGATGCTTTTCCAATTATGCCAGTGGAACAGTTTTTCCAACAGAAAAGTTGAAACTCAAAGACTTAAAATCTGATGGTGACCTCAGTTATGCAAATGGCTTCGTATAACTCAGCTTTTTAATAAGTCAAATTGAAAAAGATAGCATTTACCCTGTAGGACCAGTGGAAGAACAAATACATTCTGTATTGAATGACTGGCACCTATGTGAGCAATAGTCACTGCATAATAGTTATTGTTCAATGTATGTTTGAATCAGTAATTATGTACTTATTTTCTAGATAAACACCTATATATCTCAGTTTTGGAATTTTTTGAATTGTAAACTCATAAGTAGTTATCTATGTAAGAGTTCACAATTCTCTTGGCATCAGAATTAAACTGGGTTAATACATTAAGCATCCTGTTCACTATATAACTGTATGATACAGAATAAGCCCTTAATTTTAGTTAAATACAGAAATTCCATAGTTCATATCTTCTCACAGGTTTAGATGGGGAGAATCAGAAGAGCCAACTTGATGAAAGGGATAGGGTAAAATCATAGAGTAGCAGAGATTAGGGGGATACAGGATAGATAGGTGACCTATATATATTAGCCTCAGCAAGACTTCCAAATGGATTTTCTAAAAATAGTTACTTTACCTTAGTTGAACAATGTTTCCTTCTGTAAGACTTACTTCACGACTAGTAAACTGAACACTTACCAAGTTCCATCTGTGGGTCTAAGTCCAATATATCTCTTAACTCTGCCATTATAGTCAGTTTAACAGTTTCTAGAGAGCAGCAGTGCTTAAGGCAGAATGAATATATAAGCAACTGGCTTTCTTCTTCAAACTGCACAGCAATCTTTGGGAAAGAGCTCAGTGCCTGAGTTATGAAGTCATTATCTTGAGTCTCGTACAGACACTGAAACAAATCCAGAAGTCTCAGTTGGGATGGACAGGAGTCATCCTTTCCCAATGATTCCAGACACATAAGTAAGTCCCCTTTTATGTCCATGGATATTGTAACGTTGAACGCTTCCTCCAGTTGGCGTACTAGCTCTTTATTCAGTAGACTGAACAAAAAGCATTTCATCTGTTCTAAATGAGGGTCCTCAGAATGGTTGCTTTCAAGTAACAGATACATGCTTTCAAAAGGTTTGAGGGGATAATCTTTTTCTTTGGATACTCTCTTAGCAAGTAAAACAAAGCTCCAAAAAACTGAACTTGGAGGTGAGTGAACACATAGCAGTTCTCATACTCGGTGTCCTCCTGAAGACCCTTCGCATTCAAGAAGACTGAGATGTCATCTCTGGTCAACTCATGTTTTCTGAGATTTCTCTTGTAGAGTATATGCTTCATAGTCCAAATACCTTCAGCAGCTGCCTGGCACAGGCTCCTCAGTAGGGTTTCATTGGGCAGAGTAACAGAGCTCCCATCTGTTCGTGAAAATAAGCTGCAGACATAGCATGTGAACAGAGCTGTGGTGGTTTGGCAGGTCATTGCAATATTGCCACCTTTCTCCACTTGCTGCTTCAGACAAGTACAGACCACCCAGCACACTTGGCAGACACGGCACATGTTGAAAAGTCGTGGATTCTTCCTTATTGATAGATCGCACCCTTAGCCCATTTCTTATCGTTCAGAAAGAAATGCTGAATGTCGTCATCCGTGCATTCTCAGTCAGCCCCGGCAGCTCTACGCAATGAGGTTTATGTAACAAGGGCGTCAGTTTCTTCCATGCTGTGGATCTTGCTGTTACTAACAAGAATGATTGAGGAAACATCACTTCCCTCAGCAAACTACTAATAAGAAAGGACACTGGGTGCTCCTGGGTCCAGTCATTACATAGTGCAAACTCTGGCTCTTCAAATGAGAAGTCCAGCTCATCAAAACTATCAATCAGAAAAAGGAGATTTCTGGACTCGGACAGGATCTGTTCAGTGGGGACTTCAGAACTAGGCCAGTTCTTGAATATTAACTGAGCAAAGCTTTTCTCCTTCATTTGACTAATTTCTCTCCCACTGAGATAAAAAACATAGGCAAACTTCTTGAAGAGATTGCCATCTGCCCATTCTAACATTGCCTTTCTCAACAGTGTTGTCTTTCCAACTCCAGCAGCTCCATAAAGGATGACTGTTTGTCGCATCTTGTAAGTGTTGATATCCATATCAGATACATTCTCCAACAGCTTTTGTTCTTTCTGAATAATTCCCTGATATAAAGTTGCAGATTCTCCAGACAAAGAGTTCTTATCCCATGCAACACAAAATTTTTCTTTATTACAGTTCTGTAGTCTGTTCCATCACCTAAGTCTGTTAGAAAAGACCCATACACACATTGAATATCTTTAATTTCAGTGTTAAGATTCTCACTCCCACCCTTGCTCTTCTTTCTGCCCATCCTTCCTCTTTTCTCTGTCCACCTTCCCTTTTTCTTTCAGCCATATAAGTATTAGGAACTGGACTCAGATCTTCTGGAAGAGCATGAAGTGTTAATTACTTAGCAATCTCTCCAGCTCCCTAGGCTAACTTTTGACTAGGCATTTCTGAATACTGTTTTCTTGATATCCCAAAGTCAACATGGTTTTGACTTTCACTTTGATCATAAATACAGTTTTATTGACTTTGAATGACAGAACAGTGGTGCATTGGAAGTAAACTGCCCAACTGAATAATGGTCCTTAATGACATCTTAATGCTAAACTGACCAAAGTCTTGGTCCTCAGACAGCATTTTCTCTTCAGAAACTTGGTCTTCCATCACCTCAGCATCCTCCAACTCCATGGTTTTGTTGTCCCTGCAACAGGTTCCAAGATGAGCTTTATGAATGAGGGTCAAATTTTTCTGTGTTGTGATTCTATTTCAATCGGGATTTAGTAAAACTAGAGCCAAGAGTTTCAAGCTGCCACAGCATAGCTGAGGAGAAAATTTGGTAGAAACTTTGGGGTGGACCTCTTGCCCTCTCTCTGCTCTATCATCAGGCGCAAAGCTCCCTTGCTTGTTCTGACTTCGGAGAGGGTGAAAGCGAAGTTCAAAGGAGATAATGTGTATGTACACACACACAAACACACACACACACGAGCCTCACATATGAAGACTGGGTGCTGCTCATGAATTTTAAACATTAAACATAAAATTTCACAAAATAATAACAGTATTATTTGAGTTTGCCTTTTTAGCCCATTACTCATGTCAGCAAATATGTTGATCATATCTGAGAGTCCTCAAAGGTTTTGATTTGATCTGTAGTTTAGGCACAGGTACTTTCAATTGTAATGCAGATTACAATACAAAACTGTAAATTACAAAATGTTCCTCAAATGATCCAACGTCCCCACGAAAACAGCTTGTGCCTACTTCCGGATAGTTCCTTAGCAACATAGTTGGACTCTGTTTTACTCTTTACACGTATCCCTCAGGTTCATCTTAACAAAATGTTTCAAGAGCCACGTTCCAGGTTTGCCCTCTTGGATAGTATTTGTTTATCAAGTAAACCAGTTTCTCCCACTTGGCCTCCAGTGTGGTCTCTGGTATTGAACAGCATCCAGGATCTACATTCCCCTTTAGGAGTAACTTGAATTTGTTTAGTCCCTCATTGTTCAGCTGATCCAAATAAAATAGTCCAAATTCAGAAAAGGAATTGTCTGGATTTAGGTTTGTGGGGAAGAGTGACTTAAAGACAGAATTAATGAGAACTATGAAGTGTGTAAGAAGAAAATCCATTCTATACACACAGGTTAATCCATCATATATTTAATCCACTGGACAGGCTCAGCATTGACCTCAAGTCTGCCATATGCTCTATCATAAAACAGTCCTTGTCCTCCAGACAGAAGCAGGTAGGCTAACTGCAGATCTTTCCTTCTCCCTCTTTAAATTCTGTCCCCAGCTTTGGGTCTGGCTACCTGCTGTGGCCTGTCCCTCCTCCATGCCTTTACCTCCATTGCATCAGGAAGATCTCCAACCTTCCTCCCCATTCATCCAGTTATCCCAGCCCCCAACTCCAGTAAGCATTGCCTTAGAAGCTTCCAGCTAAAACAAGTAGGCCGGTGAAGCAGGCAGTCGAGCATTAGGTCTTACTCTCCCTCCTCTCCTATATATCCCACCCCACAATTTCATATCCATCTTAGCAGATTACCTGTTATGGCCTCTCCATACTCTCTTCCCTATTCCCAGAGGACTAAGGAGATCCTGGTGGAATGCCCTGGTTTCCCCTCCCATGGAATCCATCGTGCCCCTCCCCTAGATCATCCCAATTCCTAAATTTAGTTCCCGAGTATCTAGAAACAAATTTTACCCCATCCCCAACTCCACCCAGTGGCTATACCTAGAAGGATTTGAGAGCAATTCCTTATCCAGTAACAGTCACCACATCCTCCAAAGAAAAAGAGCTCAACAGATATAAGGAACAAAACCCCTACCTAACAAAAACAAGACCAGATATCAACACCTAGAATCCCAATCCTAACAAAGCCAGATTCCCAGACTGCAGCACAAAACCACAAGCAGTACCAGTCAGGACAATTATGTCTGCTCTAGATCCCAGCAACCCTACCTTAGCAGGCCCTGAGAATGACAGCACAGATGACAAACAAGACAAAGACCTTTTAAAGCATCCTACGGATGTTCGCAAATAGAAAATGAAGACACCCATTAAAGAATTATATAAAAACCAAGAGAACAGTGGAAGAAGTGAATAGAACAGTTTAAGATCTGAGCAAGGAATTAGAACCAATAAAGAAAACTTAAACAGAGGGAAATTTGTGCATAAAATATTTAGAAACTCAAAACATTAGAGAAATGTCTCACCAACAGAGTAAAAGAGACAGGAAAGAATCTCAGGCATTGAAGACACGGTAGAAGAAATGGATACCTTGGACAAAGAAAAAGTCTAAAAAATAAAATTCTGGCACACTATCCAGGAATTTGGAACACTATGAAAAAAATTTAAGGACAATAGGAATAGAGGAAGGAGAAGAAACCTAGGTCATAGGTACAGAAAATACTTTCAACAAAAATCACAGAAGAAAGTTTTCCTGGCCTGAAGGAAAGACAAGAAGCTACAGAACAGTAACCAGAATGGATCAGAGAAGAAGGGTCCCTCAGCACATAACTGAATGTAAAGATGTACAGAAAAAAAAATATTAAAAGCTTCAAGGGAAAAAGACAAAGTAACATAAAGGAAGATGTATTAGAATTACACCTGGCTTCTCAGTAGAAACCCTAAAAGCCAGAAGGGCCTGGACACTTGTTCAGCAGACTCTAGAGACCAAAGATGATAGCCGAGGCTGGTATATAGGACAAAAACTTCAATCACAATTGAAGAAACTAAAACATTCCATGATAGAAATGAAATTTAATCAATATTCATTTACAAGTTCAGTCCTACAAAAGGCACTAGAAGGAAACTTCAACCAAAAGAGGTTTAACCGCACACAAAAATCTTAGGAGACACACGCCTTTAAGGCCAACCTGGTCTACAGAGTGAGTTCCAAGACAGGCTCCAAACCAACACAGAGAAACCCTGTCTTGAAAAACCAAAAAAATAATATAACATAACATAATAATAAAATAACCAAATCGTATAATAACGATAATAATAAAATAACCAAACCGTAGGAAATGATTCTAGGCCAGCAAATAAAAGAGGAAATGTGGACACACACAGAGATAGAGGGACATGCAGAAAGCGAGCGAGTCAGGCAGACAGAGTGAGCAAGACAGAAAGAGGGCGAGAGAAAGAAAGGCAGGCAGAGAGAAAGAGGAGAGAGAAGAGGGAGAGAGAGACAACCACATGCAGAGACACAGCCAACACAGATGCAGAGACACACACAGACTCAAAGACATGCACAAAAGCAGACGCACAAAGAGGAAAAGAGACACACACACACAGAGATGCGCCCGTGTGCGCCCGTGCCCACAGACAGGCATTTCTTATTATTGTCTTAATTACAAGGCCCCATGCCTTCCCTTTTTAATAGTATTTTAAAGCTTGCTAAACCCCAGTGCCCAAGGCCCCCCTATTAACAGCCTTACTCGATTTCTTATTCTGCATGAGCACTCCAGATAAATACTTAACCCATACTTCTTCAGCACCTTGATTTTAGCTCCTCTTTGGTGATTTGCCCATCTTCCTCCAAAGTTTCCTGTCAATCTTTCATAATTCTCCCTCTGTTCTTGGTAATGGTACTTGAAAAGACACAGTGGAAGTAAAAACATACAGAGCATTTACACCAAAGGTCAACTATCTCTCAAAGTTACATAGTAAATTTGTACCTCAGTAATCAGCACCATGGTCGATTTTAGGCTACTTTTTAATGACTTTAATAAATAGAAACTTCTAATTACTTTTAGAAATATTTCATCTTAAGGAAGAAGTCTGACAAAAACAAGTCTTGTTGTAGTTTAAATGAGGGGAAAAGAATAATGAGGAAATGTTAAAGGAACACTAAGTACCCCCAGGGCTACAAGGAACATGGTCAGGGGAAAGGAGACAACACAACACTGTCAGCTTCCTGCCTACTGCATCCAGACTGCTCCCTCAGCTTCCTGCCCTTACTCCCTCAGGCTCTTTCTTTACCTTTTCTTTTTGTAACCAGCAGAGTTCTCTACCCTGTTCTATAGCTCAGGCCTCCACCTGTGAGCTGAACCAAGAGCAACTGTCTCCAATGTGTTTCAATCTTCTGTTTCTCCCTGGTCTCTCCCTCCTTCCATTAGCATTTAAACACAGGAAAATCCAGCTTGTTTTTAACACACATTCCCTTTCCTCCACATGCCCTCTGCCTTCTTAGGAACTCTTTGGAGTTGTCTTTCTCTACTTCACCTCCTGTTTACCTCAATTTACTGCCAACAAAAGCTACTTTTTATCAACAGTATCCCACATCATTTGGGCTTTTTGCCGAAACTGGTAAGGAATTTTGACTATAACCATCTATCTGTAAGCAAGAACTAAAGGAGAAGCTGCGTAGCATTGGATGATTAAGGAAAGCAAAGGTGTTTAGGTGGAAGCCCTCCCACGGTCCATATATACCCAAGAAGGTTGGGATGTTGGGATCTCCAGCTAGAGGCTCCCTTCCACCCACCCTCTGGTCTCACTCCTCCCATTCCAAACCTGGCCCCTGACAAAGCCCACCAAAAGTCATCCCCTCCCTGGGCCTTCTTCAAGACCACACCTACATGAATCCTCAGGAAACAGTCAGAAGTGTATATGCAGGAACACACGAGCCACATTAGCACCGCGTAATTTCTCAGTTCTGGATAAACACGTCAGAAGCTCATCTACTGTAGAATTAATCAGTAAAAAATTAATTAAAAACTCTCAAAAACAAAACACAAAACCTCTAGTATTAGAAATTAAAACCAGGGCCTTCTAAATGCCAGGCAAGTGCCTGGCTTCTGGACTATTTTCACAGCCCTGGTAAAAACCACACAGTGAAATCCTATGAAGTGATGAAAATATAGGGCCTGCAGCAGGCCACCAGGATGAAGCTTACTGTGAGAGAGAGCGGTCAAATCCAACAAGATTATAAAGGACACAAGCCCATTTGCAAAGATCAGCACAAGAGAATGTACCAGGCTGCGTTGCTTTTAAATGTATTATATTTCAAATGGGCTAGTGGGAAGAGCGATAGCTTCTGCTTCTACAAAAGTCAGTCCATGTGACCTCCATGGCGAGTGGGGGAGGGGTGCAGGGCGCTGGCTCCCTGCTCTTCTCAGGTGCTGGCATTTTAGCCCTTCAACCTCCATGGGTTGCAGGAGTCATCACTTGTTAATCACTCACAAAA